TACGCAAATCCATACTACAATCCTTAACTTACAAATCAATTGCACAAAGGTGCATAAAAAAGCCTATGAATCTCGAGTCTTCCAGAGTCATCCTCAACAAGTGATAAATGACCACCTTCATAAGCTACTAGTACATCGGACGAATATGGGTAGGAATAGGCAGGATAACGAACGGTTTGTTTGCTGACTCCACCCCACTTCATGCTGCACGTTCTTCTGTAAAACTGTTTTAGTAGATCGTCTTTCGGTTATACTCATAAGGATTTTAGGAATTTTTTATCTTCTTTTTGTCACTTCACGAGGTCGTGATATTATTAATTATTTAAATAATTCAATGATTATTTTTTTTATTAAAAATATAAAATTTTGAATTTAAATTATATGATATCTGAGTGAGATGTGATAATCAATGAGAAATGATTTCAATTAAAATAAAAAATAAAAAAAAAACTACATGAGATTGATTATTAGTCAAGATTTTTAAAGTAATGAGTATTACTTTAATTAAATTTTTGTTAGTTTTATTTTATATCATTATGCATTTGTGACCGTAATTAATGGGATATACTATATAATTAAAATAGCATCTCTAGTTAGATTTGGTAAGTGTTTGAATTAAGGATCAATTTTTATATTGTGTCTTATATTCCCCTGTAATGGTTTTTTTTTTTTTTAATAAATAAAATGACTATCAATATGTAGTTCAATGATAGAGTTGCTTTTACTCCTTCTTTTTTTCTTAATCGTAAGTTACTTTTACTTTTAATTACATATTTAAGGTTAAGTCTCTAATCTTTATGTACCGAAAATAAATAAATAAAATAAAGAGTTGAAGTTTTAAGTAGTGGAGAAGGAAAATTGTAAAGGTTAGACCATAAGTCCCTTGAGAAGTTTGGGTTTTTTCTTTTCTTTCTTTTTAAATACTAAAGTAAATGTACATTTTTTATCTCTTTAAGTAATTCACTACATCTATATATTATACAATTTAAACTCAACACATCTAATTCTTGTTGAAAGTAGATTACCACCAATAGCAGAAACTAAGAATCAATTAAAGATAAAGTCTTTTCTTTTTTTCGAACTTGAGTTTAAGCTTTTTTTCTTTTTTTTTTTTATCCTTACAAAAAGATTAAAGTAAGGCTTTAACCCTTTTTTTTCTTAAAATTTTATGTTTTTAACTTCACTTTTTTGACTTTTTAGAACCCATGATATATAGGCCCATGCCCACTGTACACATATGTAAATGTCGTCACTAATTACCATTAAATTATTTGATTTTTAACTCTATTTTTTTATAACATTTAATAATGAGTTATTAAATATTAAAGGTAAATTTTCTTTTCTCAACTCATGAAATTTCACTCCAACAGCGACATAAGTCCTTGTAAACACCGTATGGTCTAAAATATTGCATTTTAACTTATAGTCAACCTTAAATTCTTTATTTCCTTAATTTCCTTCTAATTATTTGATAATTGAGAGTGTACATCTCAATCTTTAATAGTAATCATCGGTTCTATCATACAAATGTAATTTTTTTTTTAGCCATATGGTTCTACATAAAAGAATTTAAAAAAAAAAATTTGATGAATAAACAATTTGATATGTTTGTTTTAAATTTCTAGATCAATTTTAATAAAAAAAATTAAAATTTTGAAGAAGCACAATTTGGAGATGGAGAATGCGATTACCGAAACTTGTGCCTTTATTTGAATAAAAATTAATAACAAAAGAAAAAAAAATAGAGGAAAAGCAAAGAAAATAAAAGAATTAGTGTTAAAGTTATTTAGATAAATGAAAATAGAGAATAAGGGAAAATAATATTTTTATCTAATTAAATATTTAAAATTACAATATAATATAATATAATTAAAATTATTTATTAAATAAATAATTAAAATACAATATTTATATATTTTTATTTTTGAAAAATTTTAAAAATAAATAAATGCACAAACGAAAATCTGTAACAATCCATCCAAATTAAAAGAATGGAAATAAGTGGAGTGGCGAGGCTTGATCTTCATTCTCCTCTATTAAAAAGCGCAATTTAAAAAAGGGGATGAGGTATCTCCTCTCTTCCACTTTTAAGTCTTTTAATCTAAACACATTATAAATAATGCACTTGACTCATTGAATTGAGTGATTTTTATTAATTTATTAAGGTGTAGTTCTTTTCTTCTTAAAATTGAGTTCAAACCTACATGATACATTATTAAAAAAAATACACATTATAAATAATATTAATGTTAATACTTTAAAATATAATATCAATGATTTTTTTAAAATAATTTTATATATTTTTAAATATTTAATAATTCTTTTTACTTTATTAAAATTTATAATTTGTCATAATATTTTAAATAGTTAAGAGTTAAATAATCTAAATCAAAGATTTTGATTTTAAATTTTAAAATAAATAAAATAGATTAAAAAATATAAAATTATTTTTTATTATATATTCTATTATTTAATATAAAAAAATTATAATATTTCATATATCTACCCCAATTAATAACGCATAAAATTTATAACAAAAAAAAGTTTGTTAAAAGGAGAAATTATTAGCACGTCTTTATCTTTTAAAAGACTCCCAAATAGATCCCACGAAAAGAACAGAGTTCGCCACGTGCTCATATCTGATTGCTGAATTCCACCTACCTAACTAACCTCTTCCGCCACCATCCCGTCCGTCCTCGAGTCGCCGGCGGAGTCTCAAGTCTCAACCTCTCCTTCCGTAGTCCCGCCACCAACCCTTTCTTTTTTTTCAAAAAAAAAAAGGTCCTACTGCTACCCAGCAAAGCAGTTGCTCGTTTTCGTCGCCCGTGACGGACCTCCCTACATCCATCCTTCCATTTCCTCATATAACCCACCATAAACGCTAACTTTCCCTCACTTTCTCTCCTCCCAAACACCCCTTCCTCTTCTTCTCAACGCCCAAACCCATGGCCTTAACTGACCAAACCAAACTCCTTCCCAAGCCATTCCTCCCTCGCCCTTCTCTCTCTTCATCAACTCCCGCTTTCCCTTTCCCGCCGCAACTTCCGTCTCGAAAACTCCGCCCTGCTTCCATTCAATGCTCTGTGGCTGCCGCTCCGTCTCCGGCTGTCGCCGCCTCCAAGGACTGCAAGGTTAAGTCTGTTAAGGCCAGGCAGATTATTGACAGCAGAGGCAATCCGACAGTCGAGGTTGACTTGATCACTGATGATCTGTACCGATCGGCAGTTCCTAGCGGCGCCTCCACCGGGATCTATGAGGCGCTGGAGCTCAGAGATGGAGACAAGAGTGTCTACGGCGGAAAAGGCGTGCTTTATGCCGTTAAAAGCATCAATGAAATTCTAGGTCCTAAGCTTGTCGGCATTGATGTCAGGTATAATTTCAGAATTTTCAGCTGATTCATTGTAATATTCATCGCAATTTTTAGGGTCTAACATTGTTATTATATTTTCCAATTCCGCAAGAAATCAAGCTGATGTTGATGCTATTATGTTGGAAATTGATGGCACTCCAAACAAGTCCAAATTGGGGGCTAATGCTATACTCGGAGTTTCTTTGAGCGTCTGTAGAGCAGGTGCAGGGGCCAAAGGGATGCCCTTGTATCGGCACATCCAGGAAATATCAGGGACAAAAGAGCTTGTTATGCCAGTTCCAGCTTTTAATGTGATAAATGGAGGCAGCCATGCTGGAAATAATTTGGCAATGCAAGAGTTTATGATACTTCCAGTTGGTGCCGCCTCGTTTGCTGAGGCTCTCCGCATGGGTAGTGAAGGTAACTTATTATTGATCTCCTACTACTTGAGGGTATCTTTCCGTTTTACAAATTTTAAGCTTGTTCTACTTGTTAGTTCATGATCTGTTTGATTATATGGTAGAAGATGAGTTTTGTTTTTTTTTTTTTTGAGGGTACAGTTTACCATATACTAAAGGGTATTATCAAGGCTAAATATGGACAAGATGCTTGCAATGTTGGAGACGAAGGAGGTTTTGCTCCTAATGTTCAGGATAATAGGGAGGGACTGGTTTTGTTAATGGATGCAATTGAAAAGGCTGGTTACACAGGAAAAGTAGGAGCTGAATTTATTTATTTATTTATTTTTTTGTTATAAATGAATTTCTGCATATATTTCTAATGTGGCCACAAAACAATTGTTCAGATCAAAATTGGGATGGATGTGGCTGCTTCTGAGTTCTTCACTAAGGATGGGAAATATGACCTAAACTTTAAGAAGCAACCAAATGACGGAACTCATGTGCGCTCAGCTCATAGCCTTGGGGAACTCTACAAGGAGTTCATCAAAGATTTCCCTATTGCGTCTATTGAAGATCCATTTGACCAAGATGATTGGAGCTCATGGGCTTCACTACAGTCTTTAGTTGATATCCAACTTGTAGGGGATGATTTATTAGTCACAAATCCGAAGAGAATAGCTGAGGGCGTTCAGAAAAAGGCTTGCAATGCGTTACTTCTGAAGGTAAGTTTTCAATCCAATTTGACCCTTCTTTTCATTTTTGTTATCTGCTTTAACTTATTACATTTGTTCAGCTAGTCATGATTTCTTACATTGTTTTCCTCAATATTATCCTTTCCAGCTCTGGAATTTTATCCTGGTAATTAAATTGTCATCAGTATTCCTGGAAAAGAAAATGATCTAAGTGAATTTAGGATAAATGTGTATCATTATGAGATATTTCTGTCTTTCTGAAGATGAAGATATGATTCCTTTTTTTTTTTTCATTGATAAATATGTGTCAATAATCATTGTTGTGGAATTTAGAAGTGATTTATGTTATTAGAGGCTTTTTTGCTTTCTATTGATAGAATCATATACTCTTGATTAGGATATCTGAAACACAGATATGAAAATATTTGGTATGACTGATTCCTTGGGATATTTGAGGTTTCAATGTCAATAATTTTCCTTTGATATGAAGTTAAGACTTTCTTGGGGCTCCTTATTTCTTGGTCAGTGAAAAGATCATGGTAGTTGAATCATTACAAGTCTTTGGAATTCTAATAAACTATTGCAGCTATTTTTTTCTTATTGTTTTGCATATTGCAGGTTAACCAGATTGGGACAGTGACTGAATCCATTCAAGCAGCACTTGACTCAAAAGCTGCAGGTTGGGGAGTGATGGTCAGCCACAGAAGTGGTGAAACAGAGGATAACTTTATTGCCGATCTTTCTGTTGGGTTGGCTACCGGACAGGTATTTTTTCCTTTTAAATTTCTGCTAGAATTTTATATTGCCCATGCATGTTTTGTTAATGTTGGAAGGTAATCAATCATCTTCTCTTGTATAGATCAAAACTGGAGCTCCTTGCCGAAGTGAGCGGTTGGCAAAATATAATCAGGTAATCTTAAACTTTTTTTTTTTTTTTTTTCTAATTCTCTCTTTGACCCTCATCTCATACTCTAACCCACCCAAACCCTCTCCTTGTGTCTGCCTGTTGTAAGCTAGGTGCAGCACCTCTTATCCTTATGGCATGCCCTTTTCAGATATGAGTTCTTTTCTTTGGCTAGATATGTGCAGAACATGTGGAGCTAATAATTTTCTATTATATCAAACTAAATGTTTCTTTCATTTTGTTTCTATTAATACATCTCCAGAATGCCTTTCTGGTTATGTTTTTAACTTACTCAATTTGGAATTGTTAATTTTTATGTAAATTTCTCTCTGTCTTATGTCACCATTTTGTTACAGCTTTTGCGCATTGAAGAAGAGCTTGGAAATGTTCGATATGCTGGTGAGGCATTCAGATCTCCTTAAATAAGAGCGAGCGCAACTTCCTTCCTTTTACTGGAATAAGATCCCACGTGAGATTCAGCAATAGTGAACTAAGGAAAACCCATACGATTTTTAAAGCCACATTTTGAGCTTAGATATCACAAAAAAATATTATAATCTTATTGATGTGAATTAACCAAGTGCTTTCAGTTTCTGCTGAAGTTACCATTGTATCTTTATTGTCAAGATTGGGATGAAAGGATCTTGATTGTGATACTGTCAGTCTAGATAAACTGAAAAACTACCATCTGTATCCTTGCTGTGTCTTTAATGAGAAGACCTTCACACGTTCATGGAAATTTATATAATTTTGTCAGGTCATCTTATTCAAGTATCTAGCCCAATCACTAGCAATAAGTGCAAGGTATTAAATCACTTTACAAGAGCATGTAATTTAATGACGGTGATGATGACTAATGAACCTATTGCTATTCAATTCCCCACACAACTCAACGTGTATCTGTTGATCAAAGCAGAAAAATCATCTAGAAAGTTCTAGTGGCATTTAAACTTTTGTTTCGTGTGGTAATGCTGTCACAGATAATTTCCACAAAACATCATCAGAAACCCATTGCTCTGGCTGAAGGAATGAGCAACATGGCTAATGTACCGAAATCTATTACTTACCATGAAGCTATATGTGAATAGCTGGCCCAGCATAGAATCCGGAGCGCATGTATAGATCATTTGGTGTTCCTATCTCAGCAAGCCATGCATACTCCTCTTCTCCTTCGCTTATTTGAGCTTTGTTTCCTGTATTAGCAATGGAAGTAACGTTCTTTAATTGGCCATAATTTTGCTGAGAATTCTTCTCCTATAGAAAAAATGATTTCGTAGATTTTTCTTGTCAACACATGCAAAATGTGGAAGCACAACTGAAAAAGTGTGGATTAGGTAAGCTTACCAAAGGTGGAGAATGGATAATCCATGTAGTAAGTACATTTTCTACCCAAATTTTCTCGGTAAGGAGGTGTAAGAATGTCAAGCACAGCACAGGGGGAGACTGCAGTGAAACAATGCAAATTTCCTCCACTCTTTGGGTACAAAATTGATGGTCCACATGGTGCTGTTAACACTTTATCAGCTGCCAATTTTGCGAGTCTTGCTGCCATGTCAAGAGAAAATTCTGCATTAACTTCACCTGCTGACCCTCAAAATTGGGAAGCATAGATAATTTATAATTGACCCAGCCATTGACTGTTACGATACAATATCTTCAATTTCAAATAGGCATGGTGACAATTCATGCAAGAAACTTTGGTTAACCAACATGCACAAAACCGCAGGTTCCTTTTCAAATTCAGAAAACATAAGAGATAAAACAATGAAATGGGGTTTGATGATTGTGAACTAGACAGATAGACTAGAGAAGCAAAGTCTTATTCCATGCTGATGAGGTCAGCATGATCATGCAAGCTCATTGAGTTTTATATCATCTATAGAATCATAGCAATAATCAACAAAGGAACATGAACTACATAATGTCACAAGAATTCAACTGAATTACTGAGAACCGATTATTGCAATTGGAAACTATGGTAAAACTGTGGTGTTACATCCCATAATACTTAAGCTTATAATATGTAAAATTCTAGCCCAGATTCTGAAGGTCAATTAGAGTTCAGATTAAGAATTTTCTGAAACAACCAAGTGAAATTCACATTAGGTTTCAAAAAGTCTCAGTAACTGTGATGTTACAAACTGAAAATAAAATTTAAAAACAAACCTGTAGGGCCCTTGCTATCATGGATAATTTCAGGTTCAACCCAGTCATAGGCTTTTACATGCATAGAGCCATAAAGAACTTTGCTAAAGACAGTCATTCCAGGATGGTCGTGGAGTGGAATAACTGATGAAGTAGGAAAGCAGAATATGCACATCTGTAAAACATCATTTTATCAATGCAGCTTAAAACTAAAAGACTTCTGAATTCCCTGATTTTTATATAAACATAAAATCCACATTCATTGATGGTTAAGAGCAGTTACTGAAGAAGATGTTTCCTGAAGAATATTAACAATCTCTACAATAAAAAATTAACCAAACAAGTTGAAGGCTTTGAACTTTTAGGAGACTGCATTTGATAGACGAGAAATGGATTACAAGCTTGTGACCGGATATGATGCAAAGACATATTCAACCTTTTAAGAGGTAAACAGTGAACAAAAAGACATTTCTAGAAGATTAAATTAACCATATGATATTCTAAGTGAGGGACATACCTTGAAATTTCATATTAACATACAGTTAGGGCTAGAGAGACCATAATGCTCACCGTAAAACTATCACATTCATATATATCCACATATGTTATTGGTTGAGCCCATCGAACCACTCTATTCAGTTGATTAAGTCCAAAAAAACCATGCCCTCGATCATCATCCGAACTTTCCTCTTTAAGCCCAACATCATTGGGGCCAAATGCGTCTGGAAATAATAAGTATTAGCTATATATCAGAAAGATAAACACAAAAGGCAGCATATATTGCAATATTTTGAAATATAATTGTCATGACACTGCTTTGTGCTTTATCATTTCATCTATTTCACAATGCAATTTCTAACTGCTGAATTTTTTGTGCAGATAACAATCACAATAACAACCAAATTTTTATTCCTACAAAATGTTAACTGACTAAGAATTAACAAACAAAAGTGGACCATTGTCAACCATGCAGTAGTTCTACTTCCTTGCTACCTACTATTGCCAATGTTGGAAAGTAGGATTCAATCCCTTTTGAATTCATCATAGATCACATGCATTTTGACATCTTTCATTCTCCAGAAGTCCATATCAACTAGGTGGTTAGGTGAGTGAATTTTTTCGTCTCTAGGGCAGCCAAATAAAGAAAACTAAAAGACTATACAATAATTTTTGTATTGGTGGGTGCTCAATACACATAGAGCAACGGACTTCAATAATCAATCAGTGACTACGCAACATAACAGGAATCTATTCACTCTCCAGATGGGACCCTGGAGTTACTTTCAATTATTTCATTTAAAAAAAAAATTCAAATTCCTAAACATAAACAGCTAATTAAGCAAGATATTGCATCAATTTTCACATCTGCATTTTCAAGATTTACACCTCAGCACCATAAAAAAGGAAAAACTTCAGCAGACACTGTTAAAGAATAGCTTAACCAGGAGCAACCAGAGCCATAAAAACTAAACCCACAGAACCCCAAAAGATTAGAATGAGTATAAAGAATTCAAGTTATAAAAGCATGTAAAATCAATCACAAAAAAAAAAAAAAAAACTCAATATCAGAACATTCTCGGCTTGAATTTTCAAACTTGGTCATAATTTGCTAGACCCAGAAGCAGGACAGACTCAAACTTTGCAAATCCAACAAAAGGATAACCAAAGAACAAAAGGGAAAAATACCCAAAAGAGAGCAGAGCTTCTGGATGGCTTGTGGCGATGGAGGAGGCGTCCCAGATGGCGTAAAAGTCTTTTTGCAGAGGTCGTACAGAACCTGAACTTTTGGAGAGCTGTTCTTCGCCATATTTAGTTTTCGTCCTTGACAACACAGAGCAGAAAGCGCTGTGTTCTGTAAGAATCAGAAGATCTTCGAATTATCTGTTGCATTTTGGAATTTCCAAAACATTTCGGATTTGATTGAGAAATTCGGGAAAATGGAAGCACCAACACACAACCCAATTCCTTGTTCGTATACAGTGACAGGCAGATTTTGGGGTCAACGGAATTCCAGGTCAAATAGTCGTCTTATGTGACGGCTATGATCTATCCACATAACAACTAAACCTTCCGCACATCAGAACCGTCGATAGCTTTTGCTCTATCTCCACTCCAACTTTGGACCAACCCTAAGTTAGACCCAGAACTTAATTCATTTTCTATATTTCACCCCCGATCTTATTTGAGATAATTAATCTCTAAATTATGATACAATTGGCTACGGTCAGGATTAACAAGAAAACTAATGTAATTTTGCATGATTATATTGTCTTTGTTGATATCTTGCTTAATTATTTTTACTATTAAAACTAGATTCCCTAACTTAATGATTTATTATTCAAGTTTAAAATTTTAGTGGTCTTAAAGTTATAAGTTTATTTAAACTAACTAAACTATAACAGAGAAAAATTATCACTTGTGATATTTTCCCTTGTTGAACATTCCCTATGTTTTAAAAAAAGTATTCTCATTTAAGATAAAAAAAGATCTAATTAATTAAGTATTAAAGGGAGACATCATAATTATATAACTTTAGAAGAAAATTGCTAAATACACTTGACAATATAACACTCAATGTATGATTAGCTTGAGTGGTGTTTTATTTCTATTTTTTTAAAAGAAATTCAACACTTGAGCCAATCATGCAAGGAGTGTACTTAGCAATTCTCATTTTTAAAAATTAACTTCAAAATTAATTAGAATATAAAGGCATATAATCTAAATTGCATTAAATTGCACAAAATAAATGTAATATGGAGAATATTAGAGACTTTTCCCTATCTAATAATCCTTGTTTCCAGATGCAAAATAGGAACTCAAGTATAGAATATGATCTTCCTTAATTAATTAAAAATAAGTTCTAGGGTAAAATTGAGAAACCATTTATAAGTTCAGTGGCTATCGAAGGGATTATTGCATATCCTTTATTTTCCCGATGCCCTAATTATCTCACAGTGAACACATTGGCGGGAAAATCGTCCATCTTTGAACTCTTCCTCCGGCCAATTCACTCACTGGAAATCAATGGAAGGCAGCGAAAGCGAAGCCATATTCGAATCGCTGAATGTGAATCCCCAACTCTTCATCAACGACGTCCTCAACACCGTCGACGATCTTGTTCGCGACGCCTTCGATTACTATCTCCAGTATTTCTCCTTCTCTAAAGCTTGCATCTACAGATTTTCGTCGAAAATTTTGTTAATTTTCTCATTTGCAGGCAGGCATCGAACGAGTTGAAAACTGATGGTACTGACAGGTCTCAAGATTTGACCAAGGTAATCTTCAATTTCCACCGTTCCTTTTCCTAATTAAAATTCTAGGGTTTGATTGGATTGCTTTTGTCTCGCGCTTATTCATTATTTGGCTCTTCTGATTGTTTTTTTCTGTATGCAGGGTGTTTATTACATCCACAGGAAGATACAGTCGGTTTTGGATGAGCGGCTTGCTATGTGGGAACAATACTGTCTTCACCACTGTTTTGGGGTTCCTGAAGGTTTTTCTTTACCCAAAAGTGTAAGTTTTTGCTGTTTGTTTGAATTAATACTTTCCTTGGTGCGTATGCATGTTCAACATCACTCCTTTAAACTCGGTCATTTGTCCAACTGAGTTTTGGAGTTGTCATGGCTATGTTCTCTTCTATTCTGTGATTGAATTATATTAAGGTTACTTGTTAAAACCATGGTATTTTACAGTTTCTTGAATTGTATGTTAATGTCCTTTGAATTGTAAAGTTTGGAAGCATTAATAAGTAATTCTGATTAAAAGTAAAGAAGAAAAGAACTTGATGTTAAATTATAAACAGGGATGTTGGTCTTTTTACTAGTAAATATCTGCTATTGGGTTCTTTAATATCCCAATTTCCATATAGCTCCAAAAATGTTAGTTTATTCCCTACTACATGACTGCATCTGATCTGAATATGATATTTGATTTCATTCTACTTAGACCATGGTGTGGGATTGGATGGAAATGAATAATTTGCTATGGACTTGGAAGAGGTGCAAAATGTTAAATAGAGGAATAGAAATATGGTCACTCCTTGGTGGAACCAATAGCAACCACTCATTAAAAATAAAATGAAGCATAGCTTGGTACCCTTGTTTAGCATTTGGATTGAGATCTCAGTAATATAAAACTGAACAGTTAGGAGATTTATCAACTAAGTTATAACATTTTCTGGTGGATTATTCCTGTTAACTTAATACTGATTTGTACATCAAAAAGTGCTAGAGGCAAGTATTGTTTTCTGAAAGTCCCCCTTGAGTTAGGTTTAATCTCTTCCTAGGTGATGAAAGTAACAAATCAAATCGACAGGTAATGAACTATCTCCATTCTTTTCACAGAGCAGATCTATATGGCAGTAATGGTCTTCTCACAAATTGCAATCTCAGATTTGACACCAGAAATCTTCATCATTAAATGATAATGCAAGATAAGGTAGAAATTTTGTGTGAAAATCTGGTGATAATAATATTGTTTTCTTCTAGAAGGAGGGCATGTTGAGATAATTACTCAATTATGAATTGGAGAAACTGTATTCATTATGCACCAACAATAGTTCTGTTATTATATAAGACACTATCTGCGTTCTCTATTTTGTAACAGTTTATGTGATTTGCACATCAGTTCAAATTTGGATCCTTTCTTTCCTACAAATGCTGTACTAGTACTAGATCTATTAAACATGATCCTTTATTTCTCTTTCTAGGACGAGTTACCCTGCAATACTTCAATGATTCAAGATGTGGTTCATGATTCAGATCTTGATGCAGAGTTGGACTCCTTAAGGAACAAGCTTGCATCGGTGAGGAGAGTTTTACATTTTGCTGGCACTTTTATTTGCATGCTATTTTTTCTTTTCACCTTAATGTTGTTATTGATTGATTTACAGTTTGGTTTTTGTCTAAAAGAATTTCCTTTTAAGATTGCTGCAGAGTCTGCTAAACTAAATAGCAAGCTACGGGAATTGGAACAACAGTCCAATTCAAATGGTCAGTGTGCCAGACTTGTTAATGAGGCAGTACAGTTATATGAGCAGAACTCTGTGCACGACATGTTCCAAGGTAATTATATGTTTGTTCAACTTCACAATAATAGGGCATCAGCATCAACTAGTAAATCTTTGGATGCCTCGGAGATGGAATTTGGCTTAGTAAAGTGATAAAACGCTGATAACTGATTGAAGTTTGGCTTCAGAAAGTGATTTTAACTCTATAACTGATTGGTTTTCATTGTGAGTTTTGCTACAACATTGATTTTAGTCTAGAAGAACTTGCTGTGGGATTCTATATTTGCCTATCTTTTCTGAACTTGAATTGAATGTGAGGCTTAAATCTCTTTAATCTTCTTCTGTCCCTTGAGACCATCATCCCTTGAGACAGTTGATGATGGAGCTTTGAAATTGATAAACATAAGATGTCATCTCATCTTACCATCCTAAGAGTGAAAAATTTCCAATTCCAACCATGCAAGAATATTTGCTTGGTTTAAGTTTTGAACTTAAAGCTGGTAGACACTGCTGAAATTTTCTCAACCATTGCTTCCTGCAGAGATGATGAAAACTGCCTCAGAACTTCGTGTGAAGTTCGAGAAGATAAAAGCTAAAAGGGTGGAAGATGAAGAACATGCCCGGGCAGAAAGGATTTGCAATCCTCACACTGATGACTGTAGAATGCAACCGGAGAAGGGTAAAGCCCAGCCTATATTGTTTCAGTGCCACTGAGTTGAATGTTCTGGTTAATGTTCCAAACTTTGGTGACGTTTTTGGTTGTCTTGCAGGGCTTGCTAATGTGAGCTTGGATAATCTCCAAGAATTTTTAGCTGAGTTGAAGAAGACGTGAACATTATGTAGTTACAGCTTAGTGCTTTGTTGCTTTCTGTAGTTAACTGTGTCCTAGCTCTGTGCTACCTTATAGAATGTATCCACATTAATTTGTTTTAATGCACTGTCAACCTTGTGCATTTGTAGGTGTATGGATGGAAGTGTTGTAAGATTGTCAGATAATATGCAGTTTCTATACAACTAAATTGCCGCAACCTAATACTTCTGATTTATTCAGTTCTGTCTCAAGAAGTCAGTCTCTCACGTTGAATTCCAATTTTGCTATTAGGAACCTGTGATTGCTCTTTTAGCATGGCAGCAGCTTCTCAAAAATCTCCTAACAAGCAAGCATATGCATTGTCACAATAACAATGCTAAATTATCCAAAGAGAAAAACGCAGAAACAGCGTTGACTGCCCATCAGTGACATATCAAGTGATAAAAAAAAGAAAAAAAAAAGAACATACCTGCTAGCATTGCACCTTTAGATTCAAAAGGCAGATGCATGTTAAAAAGTGAAGTTTATTTGTAAGTGAATAATCAGAGACAGCGGCACTGAAACAAGCAGGGATAGAAACAACTCAAGTCTATTACGTAAAACCTCCAAATATCATCTTAAAGTCTACTGGAGTTTGCAAACTAGAAAACATTACAAAGATGGAATTTGGAGAAACAGCAGCCTCCAAATCAGCAGAACAAACCATTCCATAACACAGTTTTTAAGCCGAAAATATGTTGAAGCAGCAAAATTGCCAATTCTGAAGCAGAAAAGATTCTGAAACAGCAAAAAAATCCAAATTAACGGTAAAATTTAAATTAACTTCTAACATAGTAATAAAACAAACTACACATCACTTTTTTTATAAATATATTACAAGTTTCTATTACAATAATTAAGTATTAATTTGCACATGAATCAGTATCTCCTTCCCATAGTCTCCCTTGTTAAGAAAAAAATATCTCTTAGAATTTATGCAAAAGAAAAATAAGAGGGAAAATTGAATTAAAAAAAAAAAAAATCATGATTTCACTCCCCTACAAGGCTGAATTTCGAACTGGTCCAGTCATTAAAGGCCCAAGTTGATCATCTTTATATGGAAAAGGCCCATAAAAGATGAGACGTGTGTGGAGTAGGCACGTGGGAAACCTTCCTTAAACCCTTGTCCTAGTTTGCAAAAGCAAAACCCTAGTTTCTGGCTTCACGCAGTAACCCTCACTTTCTGAACACTGCTCTCTGTTTCCATCGGTATGGGAAGCGATAGCGAAGCAGAGAAGTCGCATCAGAAGGAGAAGGAGAAGAAGAAGACGCTGGCTCTTGCTCCCATCGCCAAGCCCCTTGCCGGCAAGAAGCTCTGTAAGCGTACCCTCAAGCTCGTACGCAAAGGTACCTCTTCGATTCCATCTGTTCAAGCATTTCTATCTTCGTTTTAACTTTTTCCCTAATAGTAATGGAATAGGACGAGGAAGTTGATGATGATTCTTTTTAGCGAAAACAGATATCCAACTGTTTTTGTCTAGCGCTGGTGAATATTTGTAGAGAAATTCCATTTGCATTGGGATTAAGGTTGGCAAAATGTAATTTAGGGGTGTTTGGAGTTGTTGAAATGTCGATGATAGCGGATAGTTGATATCCTTGTGCTGATGATGATAGTTATTGTTGTTTATGGTCTAAATACTCTTGTTTGTTCAATTAGAGCTAGTAGCCAACAGCTAAAACAAACACCTCCTTAATGTCAGACTGTTATCTTTTGCATGGTATATGTCATTTGTTTCTAACAGAAAAAAGAAAAAAGAAAAAAGGAAAGCAATTAAAACGAGGAATGGTGCTGTATGGGAAGAAGAATTTTTGTTTAATACATATCAAGCAAACAAGGATATCGGTATTGGACATATTTGAATATATATATATATATTGTACAAAGCTTAGACTCTGATCAATAAATGGTTTTTTTTTTAATTGTTATTATTATTTAAAAAAACAGCTAAAAAAGATTGCTATCAATGCAAATGTTTTGGTTAAGTTATTAAAAATTAGGATCTGATTATAATTTTAGTTTCAATTATGGCATATTCTATTATTCTAACCTTACTATTTTTTGTGTTCTTGTAGCTGCTGAGCATAAGTGCTTGAAAAGGGGAGTGAAGGAAGTGGTTAAAAGTATTCGTCGTGGTCATAAAGGGTGAGTTTTCTGATGTTTGGTACCTTGTGGAGACTCTCCTTTCCTTTATTTATTTATTATTTATTGTTAAGATAGTTGCTA